TGCCACTTTATATAAAGAATCCCAGGACAGCCCCACAAACTAAAACTTAAGCTGTGGTTCTCATCTTATGAGAGAGAATATGCTACAGTGATCATTGTGTCTTTGGAGCCAGGCTGCCTGGGTTGAAATCCCAGCTCAACCGATGTCTAGCCTTGCGGCCTTGAAGAACTGACGTAATGTCCCTGTGCCTCAGTGTTCTTGGGGGTAACATGGGACTAACAGCAGGACTTACCTCCTGAGGATGCATGAGGCAATACACGTAGAGTGCTTAGAACAGTACCTGGCCATAAATACTCGACAGATGTTAGCTATTATTAGTTAACTGATATTCATTTTATGAATCCATAATTGATCATTTCCTATAAACTTTTGCCTATGAAACCCACAAACCAAACAAAAAATCCAAAAAACCCTAAAACCCCTTTCCCCAGGTCTTTTTCTAGGATGGAACACGGAAAGCAGGTGGAAACAGCAGACTTACCAGTGGTGCCAGTAGGACAGTTGGTGCACACCACCTCCTTTGTTTTGGGGACGACAGCACAACTTGAGCCCCCGGGACATGGACAGGGTTGGCAATCAGAGGAGGTGCCCATGGTTGAATCTCCATAGTAACCATCACTACACTTCTCACAGTGGGGGCCAGCTGTGTTGTCTCTGCAGTTACAAACACCTATTTGCAGAGCGAGTGTGAGAAAACAGGCAAGGGTATAAACAGATGAGACAATGAGCATTTCCTACTCAACTGCAAAAGAGAAGTTAGGTCCAGCGACTGCCAAAGATCACCTCACCTGTCTCAGGGTCACAGGTCTCACTGTGTCCATTGCAAGTACAAAGCACACATGGACTGTATGGTCCAAGACTCGGAGTTTCTCTTCTGTAACCTGAGAGGCACATCTCACAAAACTGCCCTCCATATCCCACTGGACAGGTACAGGACTCCACCCAAGTTGCAGGGACCCCAGGCCCAGGCCGAGCACTTGCCAGGGTGACATCATCCAAATATCCAGCACCTGTGTATGGCATGGAAAAGAGATGCACTGAACTGGCTCCTGTTTTCCAAAATCTTGTGAAAAGCTAACAACGCTAAAAAGTAGCCAGACCCAAAATTCCAGAGAAAACCAGCCATTAGCTTAATTCATCCATTGGAGAAGGTAATAAGAAAATAACATTTAGAACAATCATGTGGTACTGGGTGCTAGGTATCTGGAGCAGTGGTATAGCAAACTTGTATTTTTATAAACACACACACACACACACACACACACACACACACACACACACACACATGGATCTGTCAGATTTTACTGTTCTCCCGGTCTCCAACATGAAAATGAAAAGTGCTGGACATTCATTTGGGGCAAGAAGAGATATGGATAAGAGTGTGGGGGGAAAGAAGAGTTTAAGTCTGTAGCCACTCAGCAGTGTTTTTGTTCTTTTGCCACACTAGGCACTGACTAGAGTTCAAGGATGAGAAAGAAGGGAAAACACCCGTCAAAAGGTAATACTCAGATTATATTGTTTTGCCCTCCATAAAACAGCAAAAACAACTAAGTCCCAAAAGCCAGGACTACTTTAAGTCTTCCCTTCCTAAAAAAGACTCTTTCTTTAATCTTGTGCCTACTCTAAAATTATAGTCTTTTTTCCTTCCCTATAGCCAAACTTCTTAAAAGAATATTCTTTGTTTCTTTACCTTCAAATTACCTTTTAAAGCACTGCAATCTAACTTCAGTTTCAATTCTTAAAAAAGAAAAACCTCACCAACGCCTCCTTGATCACCCCATCTAAAACCCAATGGTGCTATTTTCCTAAACCTTTTAATTGTTTTTCTTCCTTAAAATTCTTTTTCTTCCTTGGGTCTCAGGACATGGACCTTAACTATGTTTCCAGGATTCCATCCTCTTTCTCTTTCTATATCTCCTATTATATTTCCAAGTTAAAAAATCATTGCGCATATGTTGACAACTTTCTAAATCTAGATCTCTAGTCCTGATCTCTTCCTGAGCCCCAGATCCGTATTTCCAACTACTTATAAGACGTGTTCGTCTGGACATTCACGCAGGCCTCTCCAAAGTCAACACATGCCAGCTGCTGATGCCACTCCAATGCCATGCCAACACTCTGACGTCACCTCCCCAAACTGCTGTAACTTAAAAAGTTCCTCATTTTAAAAATTTTTTAAAGGAAAATAATTTTAAAGGAATATTTCTAAAAGCCTTGTTCACCTAAAATTATAACAAATGTTCATTCAATAATTTATCATTTTTAATAATTAAGCCAGTGGTTCAAAGGGCTTGATAATTATATAGCAGTAAATAAAAACAAATGAAGATTAAGCAACTTGAGCCAGTAGAATTAGGCTTTTTAGAAAATCTATTTATATACAATGTAACCTCAATTAGCTTATTAATTATAAAATAATACTATTTACTAATGGTAGGCAAATTTTCCCCAGGTCCTTAAAAGCAGTTAAAAAATACGTTGTTTTTTATATATAATTAGTGCATAATGTGGTAGTTTACACATTTCTCCATGTTATAGCATTTAGTATTTATAGTATTATAGTATTTAGAGAGAGAAACTTCTGCATTGTGACAGATCCTTCTACCTAATAATCTTCTTAAACAACTCTCCTAAATTATATCACAACTTACTTCTCTCACTGTATGTCCCACGGATCTTGATAGAGGTCAAGTTGTTTAGGAGCTTCTGAAATTCAAAAGGGGTAAGGGTAGGTCTCCAAGGGTAATCTGTTGCTTCATGGAGCCTGGAGAGAAAGAAAGGGCCACATTAACCTCTGTCAGGATAATTCTGGGTGTTGGGAAAACACTTCTTATTCACTAATGCCACCAACAATGCAATGCTCTAATCAAATCAAAAATGAGACTGTTGATTTGATAATACCATTGGAAAAGGTAAAAGTAAACAAAGGAAGACTCCCTTTTACAATGTCACCATGATAACCCAGCAGTTTTCTTTCACATATACCTGGAGGCCAGATAAGCTTAGATAAAAAAACCACTTTCACAATGCTGGTCAAGTCTGATTTTACAAAGAAGGCTATCTTACCTGAAGACATACTTCACAGTGGTCTCACTGGGATAGGAATTGCCCTGAGCGATCAAGGGCACGGACACTCTTAAGCCAGCCCCCTCAAGCACAAGGTCTTCTGCAGAGAGGCGAGTGTCTCGCCTGTCCACTCGAAAGGAGAAGGAGAGGTTCTGACCATAACTCAACACCTGCTTGCCCAAGAACTTTGCTGAAATGCAGACACATGGTGGGCAAGAATGTGAGAATGAGACTAAATGGAAGCACACAATAAGTCAAACTGCTTCCTAGACTGACTTACCAGGAGCAACGAAGTACCTAGGAAAGTAGCTATCTGAGATCACCGTGATATCTTGCCTCTCAGAGGACCACTCGAGAGATGCTTCAGAGCCATCCCTCTGTTCCACACGCCACCCATCCTCATCTGCACGCAGAGAATGGAAACACAAGCACTGTTACAGTGTAAACATCCTGAATTCAGGTCCTCTACATACCATGAAAATGTGAAGACCGCACACCTTGTATATAGAAAGTCACCAATAAAATTTTTGAATAAATGAATCCTACAACAGTATCTATATATGCTATACCCTTCAAGCTATATTTTACTTTGTTATTATTTATATAACATTGTATTCACTATTCATTATGGTAAATTCTAAAACCATAAAAATGTGTTCATTAAATGAAAAGGCCAAATAAAATTACGCATATTAAATACCAAGAAGTAGTGCCACCATCAAAAAGCCCTCAAAGAGCTTCTGATTTTTTAAAAATATATATATTGTAAATGTAGTCCCACAGTTCTAGGGGGTTGGGGGATGAGGTCTAAATTACCAATCTGAAAGGTAGAGGAGATAGAATAAACACTGTAGCCGACGGCATTTGTACAGACAGAAGAATGCCCAAAGCAGAAGCAGGGTGTGCAACCCCTAGGATTAGATGACTCCAGATTAAAATATCCAGGTTTGCATCTAGAAAAGATTAAGACACAAGCAGTTACTCTTTTTCACTTGAAATGTGGTAACAGAGAAAACTATACAGCTAGAGAAAGAATGAGCTACCTCTCACAATTGAAGCCTTCGACATTGTCTTTGCAAACGCATCTTCCTGTTTCAACATTACATTCATCTATGCTGCCAGAGGGGTTACAAGAGCATGGCCTATTCGATGGGAAATGGAATAAAACAGAGAAGAGAAGAGAGAAAAGAAATTCCACTCAAGCTTTTGTTTCACATGCTGATTTTTAAAAACAAATACATACAGAACAATACATACATACATACATACATACATACAATGAATCCTAAAGTCATTTTTATATTTGGATTTGGTTTCAGTCTAAGATACTCATCCTGTTTAGATACTAAACCTCTGCTTACTCTCTATACAAACCAAACCCCTCATGGCTCATTATTACAGCTAGTCTTGAATCTTGCTGACAATTGTTACAGGAAAAATGTTCACATTGCTGCCTATAAGCCATAAATTGACTGTATATAATCTATAAACTGTTCTTCTGGTTTTGAAAACATTTTACCTGCATCCTGCCTCAGTGAGAGAATGGAATCGAGGCTGGCAACGGTCACACTTGTCCCCCATTACTCCCGGCTTACAGCTGCACCTGCCGTAACTGTCACACTGTGTGCTCAGAGAACCTGAAATTTAAAGAGCTCAACGTCAACCACAGATCCAGCCAGATGTGAAAGTAAAACTAATATGTTGAAGGCAGACAGTTGGTACCTAAATGCGATGCCTGAGAACCAATATGTAATCTCTAGATGGTCACAGAGAGAATAAGGATCAAATTTAAAATCACAACTCTCTCAAAATCAAGCCCTTTTAAGCCATGATATTTTAACTTTACAGACACACTCTAAGATGAATCTTCTCATCGATGTTGAAAAACACAAATCATTCTGCACCCACAGTACACTGCACACAGGACCAGTCCTCCTCTGTGGGCCAGCACAGCTCCTAAAGCCCATGTCTAGAATCTATGTACAGACGGGCCTGAACAATAAAGGTCAAACTCTTGAAAAGCAGGATCGACTGGACTCGGTGCTGTGCATCTCTGGACACACGCTGACATACTGAGGATGGTTCCGCCCTCTACGAAGATTAGACTAAACAAAATCATTAACAAGGAAGAACTCACAAAACAGTTAACCTTTTACAGTCAAAGTTCACATGGTCTCTATGATCCGGTTGCCAATTATTTACAGAACCATTACTCAGCAGCCCCACCCCCCACTTTCACATACACCAGAAAAGCATCTGGAAGTTCAACTTTGTTAAAGAGAGTGGAGGTGTGAGGCAGATCCGGAATCATTTATGTTACAACACCGTACACACCTCCACACATGGCTGTGCAAATGCCAGGAAATAAAGCTTTATTTTCTGGCAGGGGCCGGGGGGGTACAGGAAAGTCTTATTTTATCTTTCAGTCCATTTTCCTGTCACTTACCAACAGGACTGCAGTGGCACGGAGAGCAGGCTTCATTGTTCCCAAGGCGGAAGAAGTTCTCCCGGCACCTCTCACAGTTGGCGCCATCTGTGTTATCCTGGCAGTTGGTGCAGTGGCCACCATGGCCAGTGGAACGGTATAGTTCAGGGTCAAAGTAGCATTCCTGTGATCGGCCATTACAGTCACAGGCTGTCGGCCAAAATGCACAAGTTATGTCAGATCTGTGTACCTTTAAGAAGAGCATTTTAAAAGGCTCGAAGAAAACCAAACCGTAATAATTTCCCACATCTCTGAGACAGATAGATGGTGGTAGAGTAAGAATGACCAACCAGATACACCGTTCATTAAGAACAAAAAACAATAGTGTGTTAATAAAGGGTTTATACATCCAGATTATCAGTTTACTAAACAATGTTCATCCCTACAAAAAACAGCACCATCATAAAATATTACAAGGAATTCCTGTACTTAGAAAACAATGTGACTCCAGGCAGTTGTTCATATACAAGTAAAAGCCAAGTCAAATGACAATTTTCCTGAATCTTTCTCCTTCATTCGAGTATCAACTCTAAGAACAAGGTGCCATTTTATATGCACACTTCAATTTAACTTAACTTCTTAGACCTGATACGATTCAAATACATTAAGATACTAACTTTCAAAGTGCCAGATTACTTGCATGTCCAGACTGGGATAACCTGAGAAACATGGGTTAAAATTAATGCCTCTGTAGACAGAAGAAGAATTAAAGGGAAATCTAGATCTTCCAGATCCATCCTTCCACTTGGGAGCCACAGTTCCAACTGGGTCATCTGTTAAGTGACTATATTCCCTACCGGGCACAACCATATTTTAAGAACAAGTATCTGTAGTCACAGAAATTCTTTACTATATTTATACTAAGATGATTTTCTCAGAATTATTGATTCTGCCCCAAATATAGACAGTATCTTGAGCACTAAATAAAAATTAAGATTATATGGGTTCAGACAGAGCAGGACATGTTATTTTTTTTAAAATATTTGAATATATGTATTTTCTTTTGTTTTTTTCTCCCTTATGATCAGTTCTTTTATAGTACACTATTATAATAAAAACTTTTTAAAAAACTTGAGTCACTGGCACCAAAAATTAGAGTTTTGTCAAGCTAGTTGTATAGCTCCCTTTCCCTTCTTCATCAGCTACTTCTCCTCCCTCAAGCTGCCCCAGATTACCCCTAAATCCTCCCAGCTCAGCCCACCTGAGTGGTCTGACCTGAGACTATGGAGCAGAACAATCCCCACGTCCACACTGTTCCAACCCACAGCTTAAAGCAGACGTTGCGCCTCCCTCCTTGAGCGAAGGCAGCTGTAATTTTCTTTTCCCCAGCCCCAGCAACTTGACAATAATGTGGTATCGCCACAACAGGTGGAAACTTCACTCTTTGAGGCGACACAGAGCTGAAAGGACCAAGGAGAAAATCAAATTGACTTGGTCCCTCATCAAAGTCCTTCCGCTACAGCACCCAGGTCATTTGCTAGTGGTAAGCTGGCAATGTTTGTTTTTTTAGTAATTTCCTGGATAGACTCACAATATGACATCATTAAGCAGAATACTGTTCAAGCACGCATGTCTATTTAGATGCCATGTCTTAGGAGTATGTCGTCTTTTTTCTTTTATCAGCCTTTATCATACAGCTTCTAACACTGGATATTACACTTCAGTAATGGAATTAAAGAAGCTCAATCGAGTGCTTCCGAATGCTAGAGGAGGCTGTAAATTTTTTTGCAAATCTAGGATTTGTTGAGGGAAAGAAAAAATGAGTAAGAAAATCTGCTCATGCGATGCGCACCATCCGGGGGATGGACACGCTTGAAGCTCGGACTTGGGAGGAGCGGGGCGGCAAGGGCAACGTATAACCTAAACATCTGTACCCCCATAATATGCTGAAATTAAAAAAAAAAAAAAAAGAAAAAAAGAAAATCTGCTCTAGGCAGCTCAATGAAAACAGTTATGAATAAAGATATCGGTCCCTTCTCAAGGTTTCTGCCAATAATTTCTGCAAGTTCACAGTGTCTGCTTTCTTATTCCCTTTATTTCCAAGAGAAAGCAATAAAGAATATTTGTAAGGACATAAGCAACTTATGGCTGCTTTGAAAGTTTTATTGTTAAGCCCTTGGCAAATCATGATTACCTGGTTCCTTTCTCCTGAGATTTATCTGTTCAGAATAAACCATGGCCTTATGAAGGGATAAATATTGTATTGCCTTTTTCGTTTTACCCTTTTCTAGAAATACTAGGACCTAATCTTCCTCCCAAAGTCACCCGCCTCTCCATGGAGAGGTGGGAAAATTCCCCTCATTGCACGCTTTAATAACATAAAGGAAGAATAATTTTGAGAAACAATTTTTTGAATGGCAGTCTTAGCCTGGAACTCATCGTACTCGACACACATTAACCAATGACCTTGGCTGCCTGAGTAAATGAGTAGGAAGAAGATTTTAAAGGGCAACAAAGACAAGACTACAGAAACCATATTTTAGAGTAGGCTGCACTGGCCCAGTATTTGAATCTACACAGATTTCCAAACCTTGAAGATGCTGCTCTCACGCTGGCATGTATGTTCATGAAGGAAACACAAAAGCAGCACAGTTTACCTTTACAGCCAATTGCCTTCATCTCTGATCTTTCTCTGACATACATGCAGTTTACTGTTTTACTCTCTCAAACTATGCAAAAAAGCATGGCCTTTCGGAGCTTTCTTTTCAAGGAGGAATAAAGGAAGGCACCCATTCCTTTCTGTCACCCTCGGAAGTCCTTAGGACAACAGAGCAGACCGAGGCCAAGGGGCACTCACGCAGGCATTCGCTGGCACTTTCAGCCGTTGCCCTTCTCCATGGCCGGTCATTGAAGAAAGGAAGACACTTTTCACAGTCTACTCCGTACGTATTATGTTTGCAATTACACACCAGCTTGTCGTATTCGTTCTTCATACACTCGCTTGCATGTCCGTTACATTTACACCTGGGGAGAGAAGAGACACTCCACAGAACGGAACTGCTGCAAAGTCCCAGGACCGCATGCAGAAAAACTACGTACGCAGAGAACTAAAAACAACCTAGGAACATTTTTGAGTTTTACCATTCAGAAGTGTGAACTCAGCAACTGAGCAAGCTTAAGTAATGGCTGTTTGAATTTTCAGGGATGAAGAAAAATTAAATAAACAAAAAGGTAGCTTTATTTAACAAAGGATGGGGTATCAGCCAGACATGAGAAGAAAGTCCCTGATAATTTCTGAGGATATCTATAGGATCAATTCCTGGAGACAAACGTGTGTCAAGAGGCAGCACAGTGTGGTGGTTTAGGAAAGTGTGTACTCTGAAGCCAGGCTGCCTAGATTTGAAACCCTTCCCTGTCACTTACCAGTGTACCCCAACCTCTGTGCCTCCCCTGTAAAACAGGAATGATGATAATGCAAATTTCATAGGGTTATTGGGAAGACCAAGGGGTTGCTTTATTTATGTGCTCAGGATTGCACCGGCACGTAAGTCAATAAATTCCAGCAATTACCTGCCGTAATGTTACAGTATTCTAACCTACAGGTGGTGAGACACATTAGATACCTCACCACCATATGGACATCTAGTAGTCAGGTTATGTGGGGCAAGAAACCCTGAAGGAGTCTCCCCAGGTGCAGGTATGACCGTGAACTAAGGACACATGGAAATTCCCACGGACACTAATGTGCACGGTGGAGCCCTGACGTTTCTCTCACTTGCGTCCTTAAAGACAGCAATGCCCATTTCACGGCTTCCACCACCTGTTTAATACTACACCTCACCAGCTCAGAATCACCTACAGTGTGTCGGGATGAGTCCCAAAGTTAGATCTCCAGCTCTCACCTGTCTCCCAAGCTCTTATCTTTGCTGCATAAACTTAGATATCCCCTGTCTACAACCTCATTCATCATCTCCCCCAAATTAGCTCATCTTCTTTATTTTGTTAATGGTACCACCATTCTCCTGATCATTAAACCTTACAATCACCTTTGACTAAAGCTCTGAGAACTCTTCCTTCACAATAGAATGCACCTATATGTCCCTCTCCGTTCTGTTGTCACCAACTAACGTCAGAGTTTTGCTGCCTAACACGTGGACTGCAGAGCACCATAACAGGAATATAAATTCTCTTACTTGTACTCTACTTTCACCCTGCTTACACATTAATTCTCCTAATCTATGTTTTGATATCATAGCCCTACTCCAAAAATGTTGCCTGATTTCTCATTAAAGTTCCCATCAACTTTCACTGAGCATCAATCCCATACCGAAAACAATACATGTAAAAATAATTTTTCTGCTCTTGAGACCTCAAAGTCTAATAGGGGAGGTAAGTCCAAGATTTTTAGCCTGTTGTCTAAGGTCTCTGGCCACCAAACTATCTTTCGAATTTACAACTCTACAAATTCATACAGAGATTTTCCTTAGGTCAACTAGGTTTATACTCTCCCATCTCTAAACTTTTGTTCATGACATGCCCGTCCTCTTGCACCCAACCCAGACATCCTCCTTCTTTATTCAAATCCTACCTATTCTTCAAGAACCAGCTCAGATCCCATCTGCTTCTCTAGCCTGATAATTCTGTATCATTCTTAGTATGCAGCATCTTTTCTACTGCTGCTTGATCTTTTTATTTATAACATGTGACTATACTAGTATTTTAATTTTCACATACTCACACATCGACTGCCCCATTCGTTTGTAAGATCCAAGACAGTCAGGGCTTCTCAGAAGGAGCTCAGTCTTACCCTCCCTCGGTAACTTCACGGCTTTGCAGTTAAACGGTCAATAAGAATTCACTAAGTGTGTTGATTTGACAGTTTTGGAAAACCTAATTGCTTAGTTTCCAGAATAAGGAGAAGATCCGACAAGAGAAATATTCTAGCTTTTAGCCTATCTTTCCAGATATACATTCTCACTCACTAAGGACTGCCGCTCCTGCCCTCAGTAAAGAAAACAACAGTATTAACAATAGTATTAATACAGTTGTAAACAACGTGCTACACTCACTTCCACAACAAAGCTCCAATCACTTTTCAGGCTGATTCAACAGTTTACTTACCTGCCCCCCACAGCAAAATCCGAGATAGCATAGTAATAGGACTTGAGAACTTTGGGGTCATTAAACACTTCATCTCCAAAAGTGTTCAGGCGATTGAGAGTCACTCTGATGTCAGTGGCAGTTACCCATTCCTGTCAGGAAGCAGAAACAGAGAAGCAGAGGGACTGAAGATGAGAGACATAACGTGACAAAATGTTCTAGTTAACGTATCCTTTAACTTATGTCCTCTTCTAGCACTAAATCTATTATGATATTCAATGATTTCTTTAATTTCCTAATGTTCTTCTCCTCTTTAACTCTTCCCTTCTTCGATCTAAGTTGTTACTTTACTACTCAGAGTCTCAGAAGCAAGAATAATACTAGTTTCTTCAAAGGTGGTTGAGAGGCTTAAACGACACATACAATGCCTCGCATATGTTAGGTCCCCAGCACACACATCCTGTCTCTCCGCCCTGCACCCACACCCACATCCAGCCGGAAAACCAGCCCAGAGCTCCTGAAGCAGCATACTTGCATTAGACACGCTGGTCTTGGCTATTCTGCACCATCTCTCCCCGCAGACCCACCACCGACAGATCTGGGGGAGATACCCGCGTACACTGGCCTGAACCAATCAGCTGTAGTCTGTGTTTGTCTGGACCCTTCCCAAATATCACCTTGTCTGTGACGTCTTCCCTGGCCACCCCATCTAAAATTGCTACCCTCCCCCCGCTCCCTATTTCCCTTTCCTGCTTTTTGTCTGTTTCCACACACACCTGTGCCTCCCCCATCACGAAGAAGCACCCGTGAGGGTAGGAAATTCTTGTCTGTTTCGTCCACTGTGGTTTCTGCAGGGTTTCCTCTATAGTAGGTGTGCAAATAGTATTTGCTGAGTGAATGGATGAATTTGAAGAAACCACAACTGATCAAGCTGGTAGGTATATCGTGATGGCAGAGGACAAGAATGGGAGTTGTACACTTTTTCCCCAGGTTTTATGAGATCTAAGCCCTTACAATAAATGCCCTTTCATGGAGCTAATTTTAGCCAGATGATTACACGTGTGGTAGGTTGTTGTAATAATGATCCCAGTGAATCATGTCTGCCGGAGTCCACACCCTGAGCAGGCCCTTTCCATGCCGACTCTAGGCTTGGGCTGTGATGGGTTTTCACCAAGGGACATCAACAAACGTGACACATGCAGAGGCCTGGTAAGTGCTTGTGCACAGGGACTCGCCCTCTTGGAATACTTCTGCCATCACATGAAGAAGCCTGGCCCAGCCTCCCGAGGACGGAAGACCACAGGCAGAGAGCTGACCTGCCAGGTGAGTGAGCCCAGGCTAACACGGAATCGTGAGAAGTAAGAGCCACAGTTTAAACCATTAAGTACTGGGGTGGTGTATTACACACAACTACTCACAGATACTGTTTCCACTTTAAGTCTTTCCTAGTGACTGCACATCAGAATCACCTTCAGAGACTAAAGCAACGGCACAGGTACAGACGTCTGTGTTTTCAGAAGGCTCCACCCAAGACCGGGAGGCACATCCCTGATTAAGAACCACTGCCTTAAACCATGCCAAACACCTGGCACATAGAACAACATGGAGGGCTCATAAAAGCTGATCTTCATGCAGCCTCCAAGTATAATTAGAAAGGAGAAGAGACGATGATTTCACTGTATCCAAACTTGTAACTCCAATAACAACTCCCACTCAAGGCCACAACGGTAGGAATCTTTTAGTCGTCTGTGAATAGCTAATCATATCTGTTTTTAATGATTATTATATCTTCTATAGGCTTCATCTTTATCGCAGCTATCCTTGAATAAAAGCTTCTTAGAGGCTGAAGCTAAGCCATTTTTTTCATAATGGGCATCTTAAGAAGGACAGAACATGGAGCTAGATTTTTTTTGAATCCCAGTTCTGCCACTTAAAACTGTGTGATTTGGGGCAAGTGATATTCTTTCTGGGCCTCTGATTTCTCATCTATAAATGTAGATAATAAAAGTATCTACCTTACAAAGTTACTGTGAGGATTAAAAGAGTTACTATATCTAAAGGGCTTAAAACAGTGCTTGCCACATTACAGCACACTATAGTAAAGACAATAATAAATGCTAGTTATTACTATTATAGATCAATACATTACTCATATATAGTGAAACCAGGAACGGTCTCCACCCCCATGTGGGAGATTGCAGCTTCTGGAAGGAGGCCAAGGGAGCAATGGGAAGAGAGGACGCCAGCCTCTCTACTGTATCTCCTCATTGTCAGATCAGCTAAAAGTCAAATCAGCTCAACCTCCTTGGCAACTGGACATCAGAGCCAGAGCTCTTATATCCAGAGACACCTAATTAATGTTACTGCATAATGAAACCAACTGACCAAATCTACGCAGCAATCTCATTACTATCTACAGCATAAGGAGCAGCAAACATCAGAATTCTTACAGATGGGGAAACTGCTCAAGCCAGGCTGACCAGGTATACAGTTAGCAAAGGTGCCAGAAAACTACAGTTACAAATTTGTATCACTGCTCTTTTCTACTGACTATCCTATTGCCTCTCCAGGACAGGAAAATATAATACAATAATTTGCTGCAGGAAGAAACAAGACTGGCAAATGCTTGCTGGCTGACCAATTTAAAGAGTATTTGTATTAATAGATCACCTCTCCCTTGGGGCATTCATCTTCTGCTTCTTCCCCTATCAAAATCAGCTATTCTTTATGCCATTTATTTTGAACATGGCTTTATCTCCATTACAAGAAACACGTTTCTGAAAGGCCGTGGCAAACATACTCATTGCTCCCCATAACCTCGGAGTTCACTGAGTGCTTTCACATTCGTGACCTCCCGGCAACCTACAGAAATACAATGGAAGCTGGGAAACAGACCCAGAGATAAGTATATTCCCATCATTTGCCTCTGTTTAAAACCATACAACCAAATTAGAAAAAGAGTCCTTGAACATAATAATAAATTCCAGAGAGAAAGAATAAGAAGATACAAAAGTAGAAAGCCCAGAAGAATGGGGGACTTCCTATGTAGAAATCACAACAGCTTTTCATAAAATGAACGTAACATTCAAAAACCCGCATCCAGTCTTCTTTGTCTCAATCAGTACAGGCCATCCCCATTTAGACGCTGACTTCAGCCACATGACAGAGCGTCTCCAATTCTGTGTTAATGTGCTGAGTGTGGCATGAGGCTCACCAGTTTTTCCATAGGAAAAGTTCACACAAATCAGCAATACATAAAAATTCTACATTATGGTGTATATGGAATATGCATATAGAATTCATGAGAAAAAGGAAATCTTTAATTCTTTCTATTGTTAAACAAGTAATGGTTTCTATCATGATACTTAAGCACAATATCATGGGTACCTAAATTAGTATAACACACATCGTTTCAGGCGATGAGGAGTCTTCATAAATGATTGGCAACAGTGCCAGACAAACCCAGCCAAAATTTCCTTGTGTAATAATGAGGGAAGTTGGCATTCTCAAATATCTTGCTTCAATTGTTCCCACTTACTTATTTTAAAAATACTTTTATTTTGTCAAATCAAAGAAGAGGTAAGAAAATGGGATAGATTAGGTCAAAACATCCTCTTCAAAAAGTCAGAAGCAAAATGTTTCAACCTCAAGTAAAAAGACTAAAGTTAAAATCATTCAACTTTTTAAAAAAATGTGTAAAGTTTACATCCCAGGATATATTTGCAAGTGTGTAAGAAATTAAGAACGAACATCAACCAGGCAGTAGGAACAAAATTACTTTCCTTCACCTTGTAATAGCACATAGGAGAGCAGAACAAAATCCAGCTGTCGTGTTGCTGAAGTAGATTCTGTTCCGATCTCTCACCTCCAAAGTGGGACTCCAGCCCCTCTGCAATAATCCTCCCGCATCTAGTACGTGGCAAAACTAACTAATTGGCTCTGAGCCAACCAGTGAGAGCCTACCTGCAGCACAGGGCTGTTGTCAAAGTTGTAGGCGCTGGGCCTTCCTTCTAGGGTGGAAAAGGCCACGTTGCCCCCTGTAAGGGGAGAAATGTCACTGAATTCATCAGTGCACAAGGCCTGCTGCTCGTCCCCGCCTGTCCTGATGAAGCCGCGGTTTGCCTTCGAGTAGGTGTTCTCGCAGGATCCGCTGTAGTACTGGTAAGGAATCCAGGGCCCGTCCTCCCTCGTGCGCTTGTAAATGGCAAAGCTTTCCGGGCGGCTGGTATGGAACTTGAGGCGTACATAGGTGATGTCAAAAGCTTTTCCTGTGGGAAAAACATGTCGAAATTCGTAAGTCATACGTATGAAGCAAAGAAACCCCCTCTTTTCCCAGTTTGGTGTGGAACTTAACAAAGAGGATACAAATCACCCTGTACACATTGGACTAAGATGACTCCAGAACACACAACATATTGATTATGTCCAAAAGACTATTCTAAAACTGGAAACAGTACGTACTTTTCCATAAAATGACAAATTACAGCTGGGTTCATAAGTTGGCTCACAAAGGTCTGCTCATGACATGCATTGTTGAAACTTTGTTTGCAATGAAAACCAGTAGCATATATTAATACTATACTTATACTATTAAATAAAACAAAAAATTTAATAAAAAGCACTTTTATTCTTAATGCAGGTAATTTAGCAAAAGCTTAATTAAAAGATACAAAAGCAAATATATGCCGACTTTCCGAATGGGTCTTCTTCTGGGCACTTTGAAGACTTTTAAAAACCTCACTCTTTATTAACTGTAATGTTACTCTTGATGCAGGAAGAATATTACCAGTACTGTTCTTTCACTTATCTACCAGGTTAAGAAACAGAAATTTGAGAAAGGGAGAAGGACATGTTTGAGAGATGGAATAGAGAGCAGAACAGGAAAGAAGAAAAAAAATCTCCTTCAGTAGCCAGACAACGAGATGGAAAAAAAAACAAAATAAGGAGAAAGGTTTAAAGAGGTTATGTCCCAGTATGTCCACAATAGAATATATAAGAAATGAGAGCTCTGATCAGGGAAGAAAAGGGAGGACTCAATGGGCTATCGTCTCTCTGAAAGAAGAGTCGCTGGGTCAGACATTTCCCTGCAATCACCAGAGTACGGTCTTATGGTCAGGATGGCTTGGTTGCCAGCCAACATGTCTTCAGGAAGGTAAAAGTAATAATGCGCATCTGTTTTTAAGCACCATTCATTCACACACTGGGTCTTTCTATCTCTGACAAAATGTATACTTGCTACCTCTGTGTTATAATGAAGATCACAGTTTGGTCAGCAAGTATTTTTTGGGACACTACATACTCAGTCCTATGTTATATACGTTGGGGGACAGGCTGCGTTAGACATAAGGGGTCTTCAAAAGCTTACAGCCCTCCCCTCCCCCGCCAAGTGAATTAACTCCTCAGGAAGAACCTACCTAACCCTCTCCTACAAAACCCACAAAACAGGAATTCCTGCACTCTCAGAAGTGTGGAGGAGAGACTTCTGCCACTCTCCCTGTTCCTTGCACCCATTCATGCCTAAGAGACAAGGAGACAAGGAGTGATTACTCACGTGTGGCCTGGACTCCCCTTAGCCACCTCTCTGGCTGGCTGCCTGCCCGAGTCCCCCATCCTCTCCTGCACTCTCAATATAAGACGGTAGCTCTGCCTTTGTGTGGGCTGGGGCCGGCTGCTCTCCTGCTGCAGATCTGGGACTGAGTAGGTGAGGTCATCTCAGGGAGGAAGGGCAGAAAGTCCATGTAAGCTGTGTCCAGGCTACATTCCTCAACCCATTCTTCAACTGGATATGAGGAACCATATCAGGCTATTTCTCAAATGGTCTAGATCTTAGAAAAGGTTTAATTAATTCTCCCCTATATACATGAAACATACTCATACATATATGATCTTAAACAAAAAGCCATGTGGCATGGTATTTCCCAGGACTGGGCACTTGGAGACCGGGGTTCAGGCCCTGGCACCTTCATTTACTAGCTATATGATTTCTGCTCCACAAGTTTCTCCTCTGTGAAAATGCAAATAATCTCTGCCCCACCGAACTCAAGAGCTGTTGGAAGGTGAAACCGAGATCTGCACATACTTGATTAATTGTAAAACTCTACCTACAAATATAAGGCATTATTATAATAAAGTTTATCAAAAAAAATTCCTGAACTAGGATCCTGGATATGTTCACGCATAAGGGTCTGACTGTACCAGGGACTGCCTGGTACAGTTGCCAAAGGATATTACATTAATACAGATCCTCTACCTAGGGTGCAGTACATTTTGCCTGGACAGAGGTCACACATGTGGTTTACACACCTCCTGTTAAAAGAATGAAAGTTTAACCTGTATCTCTTGATTGTGTCAAAAATGTCAAGACCACCTTTGAATGAGGGTGGGGTTATAGTACAGTATCTGTGGCATTCCAGAAACTCGCTATCTAAGACATTCCAGAATGGTAAACAATTTGATTTTACTCAGGAGTAGGTGGCTTGGGATGTTCAAAGGCTTACTCACTAATCTGTGGATTACAGATCACCCTTGCTTTTCTACTTTCTCTACCTTTCTGACATCTCATTGTTCTTTAGTAGCCCAACCTGCAGCAGACTGGACCAAAGCAGAGAAGGTAAAATGGACCAGATCATCCTGTGTTCTAAACCAACATCTGTACTACAAAGCCACCCTCTGACAGAAACAGGCATATGTGGCCACTCCCCTTGAAGCCACATATGCAGAGCCATGGGTGACAAAAATGTCCAGAAAGCAATTTTGCTATAATATAATTAAACTCTGAAGCAGCCTACTTTCCGGTGCTGGTCTGGCCTTGCTGGCACCAAGCCTCATTTTCAGAGCTGCATTTCTCATTCTAACCTAAAGCCACAGTTGGAAGAGGCACAGGAGCTCTGCGGCGGTCTGTACAGAGGCTCACATACCTCCTCAGGGCAAGACAGCCACGTGCGCTGCCTCAGAGCGGCAGCCAGCCCCACAGTGGATACAGGCAATTGCGATTCTATGCGATGATTCTATGCCAGGGGAAAGGCATCACGTTTGGGGAACATGGAGGAGGGTCACCTAACCCAGATTTGCAAGGCCAAGAAATGCTTCCTAGAGGAAGTGGCATCTAAATCCAAGACCTGAGGAATGCTTAGAATTAGCTAAGCAAGCAGGGACGAGTTGTCCAGGCAGACGAAACAGCATGTATGCAAGCCCAGAGAACACAGAGGAGTGATCGCTACAGGAGTCAGAGTTGCACAGGACAGCTAGAACGGAGACGGTGGCTGGAGATGAGGTAAACAGAGTCAAGCATGCCAGGCCTGAGGTCATGGGAAGAGCAACTTCAACTCAGGGGCAATGGCCAGCCACTGAAGCGTCTACACCAGGAAACACATGATCAGACCTGATTTTTAGAAAGACCACTCTGCCCACAGTGTGGAGGTTAGGCTGGAGGGGACAGGACTGAAGGTGGGGCGGTTAAGAAGATGCAGCAGTAACCCAGGTGAGCTGAAAGAGGCTGAACTAAGAACACGGAATGGCAGGATGGAGGGAAATCACTGGATCTGAGTGAAGCGCGGGAAGCCGGCATCAGTGGTAACTGGGAACTGGTAGAGTATGTGTGGGGGACTGGAGCCACTTTTGAAGGAGCCCTCTGCTTGTACCCTGTTGGCATGCTAATTCATGGTCAAGGATTCTTTTTCTCATTCCATGAGGTGGAATGACTGGGTGTAATTCAGCTTTCTAGTTTAAAAACAGCCCAGTGCAGAGTAGTACCATCCACTGAAATGAGAGGAGAAGCAGTTAAGCAGCACTGGAGGCAGAGGCAGGATGAGGAGACGAGTTCAACCGCAGATACACTAGTTGTGAGGTGTCTGCAGGTCATCTAGACAAGAGGAAATGTCTGATGTCTGTAGGGAGCTGGATGTTAGCAGCCTGAAGGGCCGAGAGAGAGCCCCGCGTTAGACACATCTGGGATTCGTTAGCATGTGGGTGGATGTGGAAGATTTGGGTACGGTTGAGACCAATGAGACAAGCGTGCTGTGTGAGAACAGACTGACCTTTGAGAGCACCCTGAGGAGCACCAACCTCTGAAGCACACCCAGAGCAAGACAAGACGACAAAGGAGGCTGTGAAGGGGCAGCCGGGGAGGAGGGGAAGTAAGAGTACAAATGCCACAGAAGCCAAGACAAGAAGGTTCTGAGGAGGGAAGAATCAATGGTGTTAAAATCTGCTGGCAGAGTCAAGTTAGATAACGACCAAGAAGTGTCCATCAGCTTTGAGCCACAAAGAGGTCACTGCTGCACTGAAAGCAGTTCCAGGGGCAAGATCACAGTGGCTGGAATGGAGGACGGGCGGCAGGCAGACACAGGCAACCTGCTATGACATCTGGCTCAAGGGGAGGAGGAGGAGAAGATGATACTTGGGGGAGATATAGGGCCAGGGAAATATTTCATTTTTCCTTTTCATTTTTCAGATAGGAGAGATGACCGTGTATTAAATGCTGCTGTGCTCAAGTCAGGAGAGAGGGAAAGGCTGAAAATACAGGCTGGGAAACAAGAATGGGATTCAGGATTGGTTGAGAGACTGACTCTACACAGGAGGAAACCTGCCTCCCTGCTTTCTGTCTGGGTGCAAATGCGAGTGACTTTGTGGGTTTTAAGGGACAGAAGTTGAAAGAGGTCTGATGACTTTTTTTTTTCTGTGTAGTGAAAATCAAGGGTACTTGAAAGGGTTAGGGGCAGAGCCAGTGAGGAATGTGGCTGAGGAATATTCAAAGAGTGTAGAAACTTTCTAGCAGCCACTGTAGAGACCAGCACAGAGGCTGACTGGAGAGAAGCAGGCTCGCCGGGCAGAGACAGGCTGCTGAGGAGAGGGCGAGAGGGCAGGAGGCCGTGACTTTGCACGACACCTCCGTGGAGGTAAAGTTTTCTATGGCAGCAGTCAGCACCCCCTTTACCAGTGTCATAAAAGGACAAGACAAGGGGACTGCAGTTTTTCAAGGAATTTTGAATCTAGTCTGGATAAACAAGGAAGCAAATACAGAAAATGGAATGGAGGGGTCAAGGCATGAGGTGTCTCTCATGTAACCATGGATAATCAAGAACTAAGGAGCTTTTTATCCCATTAAACAGCTACAACTGAGAGCTACCATGTCCTCTCTCTTACCATACTTCCCTAACTCTTCATCTGTCCATCCTACTCCTTTCACAGTTAACAAAGAAAGAAGACCCAGTTAATTGGCAGACGAATAGAAAACAGGACCAGGGCTTCTGATTTCCAGTCCAGTGAC